AAGTTTTCAGAGAAAAGTTTTGCTGTGAAAATATTATATGAAGTAGGTTGATTTGTGTCAAATTTTCAATGTTCATGCGACAAGCATGAACATTGAACAAGCCAACACTGCACTGATTCTCTGAAGAATACAGTCCCCTTGTTTAAACCAGCGAAAGCGTCCTCTATTATAAGACAGCCTTTATCAGTAGAACTGAGGGAAGTAGATTGCATGATTCAGGTGAGAGAGAGAACACAGTAGAGAAGAGAGTGGGGGCGGACTGGGCCGATAAGTGTCGCTGGTTTATCCACTAGTCCATTAGTTCACTAGTCTACTAGTTATGCTTGTAACTTATTAGATATTTTTAATAAATATTTAAAATATTATATACATTTATTTTCTCCTGCCTGTTCTGCTCTTCATAAATTATATTACTTCTTTGTGATATTTCTTTCAAATCATTACGATAGCCTTTATGAACTTGGACATTTCATCTTTGATATCTTCTGTGTATGTACAAATATTTCTTGTATTACTTTTACTTTAAGACATGGCTAATTTTTCTCTTGTGTAATCATTCATCTCAAAGCATATACACAGTAGATGGTCAATGGACAATGACAGATAAGGTCACTGTCTCTATGTTAAACATAAGATGGCTGATACTATTTCTTGTCTGTTAAACATAAGACTTCTTGATAGTGTTATTTCATTTTAAGCCGTCAACCTATCAGTTTACAAACTGCTGCCCAACTTTATCATTTTGCAGTCTAAAAGTCCTCTAAGCTTACAGTCTAAGGTGTCACATGTGATTGTGTGTAGTTGGTGTGAATGTTCATGCAGAAATAAAAGTCTTCCATATTCACGCTAAGATGGTGTGGAGTCAGGGGAGGGTAACTATGGGAACCAGGAGCAGTGCAGGTTAGAACAGACTGACCCAGAGGACAGAGCAAAGACTGCTATAACTGAATATACAAAATTAAAATGACTTGAATTAAGAATATGAATCGTGTTTTATTTTTTCATATTTAGCTTATATTTATCCTCCATGGCTATAAACGTTCTGTAGTCCATCATGAGTCATTCCCTGAGCTCCTGGACATGACACACAGTTTTTAGACTTATTTTGAGAGGACATTGGAAGTTTATTTTCACACCACTTGCTTATTTCCATCTTGACCCTGCTAAAATATGGGGTTACTTTTGTCTCATTAATATTCACAAATACACAGGTGGTGATCTACAAATAGTCATTGATTTGTTTTGATATCCACAAATGCAAATTTAATATTTGTAACATGTATTTTGGTATTTACAAATAGATGTGTATTTGTAAATTTATCTTTGTTAATTTGCAAAAAATATAATTTCATTTGTACAACTGAAAATTCTGTTTGTAAAATGTGATTTGCATTTGTGGATCACCAGTTACATGAATCCAAGAGTTCCAGTATGACATAATTTTGAGACACTCATTTTGAGAAATCCACAAACTCAGACAGATCCACAAACTCAGACACGTACTTGACCAGCAGGTGGCAGCAGCTGGCGCACAAAACATTTGACACTGCAGAAGTGGAAGCGTCTCTTAAGATAATGTTTACCTTTATCGAACGCCTCAACAGCTGAGGACTAAACCAGAACTGAACCAGGACTGAACTAGGACTAAAACAGGACTAAACCAGAACTGAGTGTCTGAATGACCCAGAGTTATGCCCGCGCAGACCGTCGGGTAACCGCGGGCGAAAAAGGTCCGCGCCCCGCGGGGCTAAACGCAGCTGTCACACGAACGCGCTTTGCGGACACCGTGCTCCGCCAGCTCGGGGTCCTCTCTGTCTCTCTGTTTCTTTCTCTTTCAAGCCAAAGATTAATCCTGGTTTGGTCCTGTTTTAGTCCTGGTTCAGTCCAGGTCTAAACCAGGACTAATCTTTGACTTGAGAGACAGAGAGAGAGAGAGAGAGAGAGAGAGAGAGAGAGAGAGAGAGAGAGAGAGAGAGAGGACCCCGAGCCGCTGAGCACGGTGTCCGCAAAGCTCGTTCGGGTAACGGCTGTGTTTAACCCCGCGGGGCGCGGACCTCTGAGCTGGTCCTTTCACCCTCGGTCACCTGATGGTCTGCTCGGGCACAACTCTGGGTCATTCAGACACTTAGTTTTGGTTTAGTCCAAGTTCAGTTCTGGTTCAGTTCTGGTTTAGTCCTCAGCTGTTGAGGCATTTGATAAGGGTAAACATTAGCCTAAGTGACTTTATACAGGTTACAGTTGGATTATTTTGCAATGGAAATAATATGCCACGATAAAGAAGGTTTAAAACAACAGCACAATAAATGGAATGAATGAAAGGCGCCAGGGCATGCTCACCATACTCACGGATGTGGCTTCTTTACCAGTTATAACTAGACTAGCAGTGTTGTGCAAGTTCACACTTTTCATGAACTAGTTCAAAGTTCAGTTCACACTTGTTCAAAATGAATAGTTCACATTCATAGTTCACAATTTTAATTTTGAACTAGTTCAAAGTTCAGTTCATTTTATATTTAGGTGAGATCTGTAAATGAAAGGCTGCATTTATTTTAGACTAAACCAGGTCTAAATCAGGACTGAACCAGGTCTAAACCAGAACTGAACCAGGACTAAAAAAGAACTGAACCAGGTCTAAACCAGGAATAAACCAAGACTAAACCAGGACTGAACCAAAATTGAACCAGGTCTAAACCAAGACTAAACCAGGACTGAACCAGAATTGAACCAGGTCTAAACCAGGACTGAACCAGGACTGAACCAGGTCTAAACCAGAACTGAACCAGGACTAAACCAGGTCTAAACCAGGTCTAAACCAGGAATAAACCAAGACTAAACTAGGTCTAAACCCAGGACTGAACCAGGACTGAACCAGGACTAAACCAGAACTGAACCAGGACTAAACCAGGACTAAACCAAGACTAAACCAGGACCAAACCAGGACTAATCCTGGTCTAGAACTTGCAATCTAGGACCGCCCCTGAGAGAACCCCGAGTGCGATCGGGCGTCAGCTGCGTTTATCTCGGTGGAGCGTGGACTTCTGCGTCGGTCCTTTCGCTCAGGATCACGGTCTACGCGGGCGCACCTCCGGCGTTTCACCGCTGCTGATATCGCAGTGATTTTAGCAAATTTGTATGAAGAAAAACGAAAAACCCACCATTTCAATCCAGGTTAAAAAAGCATTGTGACGCGCGTTACTGACATATGTACCAAGTAAAATAATACGCGCGCGGAGCAGCACGTCCTGTGCGTGTAGATTTCAGAAAATAGGATCCGTCCTATTTTTTGACGCTCTACACCAGCGTAGGCGCGTATCCCCGTCAAAATCCACAGAGAGCATGTATCTATTGTTGTATTTGTGCATTTACCATCAGCACATTGTGCTCCCTGGGCAGTTGTGTAACATGTGAAAGAGCCCAGATCCACACAGACTGTTAATTAGTGGTTTGAAATGTACTTTTGAAATCCTTGCGTTTGCCGTGGTCAGCCTGTACAGAAGGTAAAAACAAGCAGCTAAACGCGCCCAGTCAAGTTTGATTGACTTTCCCATTGAGAGACACAAGAGCCCGTACGTTCAGCTAAAGCTGCCGGTGGAGTCGCCTTCACGTTGACACGCGGCTGTGGTTTCGCGAGGTGAAGTTCGAGCAGATCGTCACTCGTCAGGTGAAAACAAATTCCGACGTTTAACTGAACCCCAACAGTGACGTACGTCGTTCATCACACATAATTTGAACAAATTCACGTTCAAGTTCTTGATTTACAAAAGTGTTGCGTTCAGTTCAAAGTTCACTGAAAAATGAACGTGTTCAATGAACGCGTTCTTTTGAACGCGTTCATGCACAACACTGTAGACTAGTAGCTACTACAAAAGAAGTAACGTAATCTGATAATCCCTCAGTATTACAAAACATATTACTCATTCAAACCTGATTGGCAAAGCAGAAAAAAACAGCAGTTGGTTGGCCAAGAGGAATACACTGAGTCAGTAAGAGATGCTTCGATTTCACCAGCGTCAAATGTTTTGTGCGCCAGCTGCTGCCCCCGCTAGTCAAGGACGTGTCTGTATTTGTGGATCTGTCTGAGTTTGTGGATTTCTCAAAATGAGTGACACAGAATTACATCATACCGGAAATCGATGGATTCGTGTGATCCACAAATGTGACTCACATTTTACAAACAGAATTTTCAGAATTTTGTAAATATATCTTTTTTCATTTGCAAAGAATAATTTCATTAGTAAATAATGAAATTATTCTTTGCAAATGAAAAAGATATATTTACAAATACACATCTATTTGTAAATTCCAAAATACAAATTACAAATATTAAATTTGCATGTGTGGATATTAAAACACATGTACAAATCAATGACTATTTGTAGATCACCATCCGTGCATTTGTGAATATTAATGAGACAAAAGTAACCCCATATTAAAAAACTTAGAGACCCTCTACTGACGCTGAAAAATTAGAACTACAACCTAGCCGCTTGTTGCGTAATAACAAAAAAAATATAAAAAATAAAAAATCAACTTCTCAACCTTCTGAATGGTGGTGCTGAGGTGAAGGGGGTGAAATCTATCAGTCAATAGCATTAAAGATAACTTGAGGAAAGATGAGGTATTCAGATTACAAACTGGAGTATTAATATTTGTTGGTTTATTTGTATTCTTGGTGAATTCCTTGTTTCACTCTTTCATTAAAATTGTATTTTGGCACTTTGTAGAGGATATCAGTATGGAGATTCCCTGCTGTTTCTCCCAAACTTCTCCTTTGGACTAAGAGCACAGATGCTATTGAGAACTGTGTACACTTTGGAGGACTTCAAGAGCCCACACTGTTTTAATAAACCCTGAATACTGGACTCATTCTGGCCTTCACAGGGACTGGACCCCAATAAAAGATGGTTAACTTGGCTTTAGAAATATGCAACAATGTGGACATGTATGGGTTCTGGCTTCTTTAGTAATCACCCTTAGAGTTTTCAGAAATCACTATTATGATGACCAAAAGGCAACTCGGAAGTACCAAGCCATACCAGCAGACTTTGCCCTCCAGACAAGGTGTGCTCTGGCTTTACCTGGGACAGTATGCTCCCTCAACAACCCTATATTTTTTTATTTGTCCTACATCATAGCAGAGTACAGTTTTTACAATTTGAGTCATAGATTGACTCAAATTAAAGATTGTTCAAAAAGGAGTGGGAAGATGTAAGACTTATTTAAACCCACTCCTTCTTGGCCGTACCTGAAAATAAATTTTGTAAAAGCACCTCTGAGGGTCAAAATAAGAGGGCTGTGTGCTGTCTGTTAATATGAACCAGGAAGTGTGCTGTTAGCATATTTAACTTCAATGTGATGCTCTGGTGAACTCTTCACAGTGAATAACTGGGATGATAGGAATGTGTTAGGAAAGTGGGAAATGACTTTGGATCATGTTAATTCATGTAAATTCAGGCCATGTAAACTATCAGCATTATTATTTTGGGCACAGTAACAGTCAGAGTTACAGTAGTGAATTGTGTGAAATAAATAATTGTACACATTATACAAGCCTATATGTCTACACAAACACTACATCCATGACAGTGAAGACACAGATAACATTTTGAGCTTGACCATTTTTATTTGCGCAGTTGTTAGAAGAAAGCATCTAAAGAATGTCTAAAGCAGCGACCAGATCAGATCAAGGTGATAATGTGCAGCGTTTGTTACGTCAAACGCCAGGTCTTTATGGGAAGATGTACGGCATACAGTTGGATTATTTTGTGATGAAAATACTCACGGATGTGGCTCCTTATCACTTAGAACTAGACTAGTACTACAAAAGCAGGAAGTAACATAGTTTGATAATCCCTCAGTACTACAAAACATATTACCTATTCAAACCTGTTTGGCAAAGCAGAAAAAAACAGAGGTTGGTTGCCATATCCAAGAGTTTAAACCAAAACACTGTGTTTAAACCAATGAGAACACCCTCTATTATCTAACAGTTCTACCTGTCGGCTTTATGGGTGTAACAGAGGGAATGGAACCACATAATGAGCAGATTAGTTTCAGGTGAGAGAAGAAACACTGGAGACAAGAGAGAGAGAGAGAGAGAGAGAGAGAGAGAGAGAGAGAGAGAGTTACCTCACATGCCCCACAGCCATGAGAAGACACAGCTGTAAATTTGTTTTATTTCTCAGCATAACTTTGGGGACTTTATCCATTTTATTGGTTATCCTTAATTTAGATCTGAGGTAAGTCACTCATTTGATATTTTAAATTAAATAAACTTATTTTCTCTTTCCCATTCTGCTCTTTATAAATTCTACATTTCTTTCAAATCATTACTGTAGCATTTACAATACATTCATGATCTTTGTCTTTCTAGGTTTTGTCCTTATTTTTTATACTAATTTACACTGAACCAACACAAGAATCAGCACAGAAGGAGAATACAGAATGCACAGTTTGAATTTGAGTAAAGGGCAATTTATCTTGTGATATTGATTTTGTGATGTGTGAGTTACTGTGTCCAGAAAACTCCCCTTGTGGATTAATTGAGTTTGTCAAAGTTTAAGAGTGAAAAGCTTTCATATATGGTTATAAAACTAAATTCAGCTTCATCATATACCCATATAGCAGATGGTTAATGGTCAATGACAGATAAGGTTATTATATCTTATCCTTGTTTATGACTCGGCACCATTTCTAGTCTGTTAAACATGACTCTTCTGAGAATATTCAGTTCAGTTCAATTCAATCTTTATTAAGAACACGTAACATCTGGTTCATAGTATTAAAAAGAAAATAGTAAGAATAAAAAAAAAATAAATACAGTGCACATTATAATATTTACAGACTAGACCGCCAGTGTCTCCACAGAGAAGAATCTGACAGAGCTCTTCACAGGACACACTAGAGCTTCAATGATTCGATTGCTCAGATTCACGGTTCTACACATAAATGAATAAATATAACATCTGATCGTGACAACACAAGATCTCACACCACAATTTACAAACATTTCAGTGGCTCTACAGAACCTCTGCACTTTCAGTAATATTCTCAAAGAGTCGTTATAGGCCACTGTCAGACTCTGCAAACTCTATCAACACACAGATTTTTGTTGCCAATGTTTATGCAAGAAATAAAGTCAGGGAAGAGGACCCATGGGAACAGAGCAGGTTAGACAGACCCAGAGGGAGTTCAGGGAAGAGAGCGAGCATGCACGCAACGCTTGTTTTTAAGGTATTTTTAGTCCAAAAATAAAAATAAAATAAAACACTGTTAATCTTGATTTGAGTACAGTCTAGACAGTACAGATTGAGGAAGATAAACAGGAAAACTTAAAACAGTCGTCTGCTGTTAGTTTCATTGTTATTTTGTTATCTCTTAACGTGACATTTGTGATCTTTGTCTTTCAAGGTTTTGTCCTTTTTTATACTGATTTATGCTGAACCAGCACAAGAATGATCACAGAAGGAGAATAGAGAACGCACGCAAGAGCTTTGTTCTCAAAACAAATATTGGCATCTTAATAAAAGTAAATTATTATAAATGAAAGTGCCTATGACAGGTTATATTTAGATTTAGACAACTTGATCCACAACGGAAAATATTTGGACACAGTAGTTCACAATGTATTATAGTAACAAAGATAAATTGTATAATAGATTCTAAATAAGTAGCAGAAATGACAAGAGACTAATGCCAAATAAAACAAAAGATCATTGTATTTAAGATTTTACTTTTGGACAGATTTCTCCTAGTGTGATGTCATCATTGTGGGAGTCTCTAAAATAGAATTTTACTTCCTGAAATTTTCAACATATTTTTCAACTTTTCATTTGGATAATTTCAATCCTGCCACTCTGTTTCATGGATCTATTAAAATACAGTCTATGGTTTGTAGGTGTCTTGCGTTGTTTTGAGAAAAGATCACTACAGCTCATGTTCAATGAGCAGGGAACCACTGGAAGTACCTACATTTTTTATTATTAATTTACATAATGAAATGTACATAGTAGCTCTCGATGGGAGATAACACTGTATTGCATGTACCCTTTTTTTTTTTTTATCACATTTTTCAAAACATAAATATTTGGAGACATCATCACATTGTATGTCCTTGTTCGAGTCCTTTAGGAGCGACACAGAAACAAAATATGACCATAGTTCAGAGTTAAACAACAGAAGAGATGGATTTATGTTTTATAATTTACTTTTATGTATGTGCTATTTACCCATAATTATAATTATATTGCAAAGTCTCAATAGTTTGTTTGGAAATGTGTTTATACCATAATGTATTAGCTCCAAATTTAATTGAACATTTATGACCATCTTAATTTTCAACCAAATAATTAGATTCTTCCATAAAATGTTTTGTCATGCCACAGGAGAAAAAGAGATGATCGATTGTTCCCTTCTCTTGAGAGCAAAAGAAACATGGCTCCACCTCAAAACCAAACCCTTTTTTTTTGTTGGATAGTGACAATTTATGATTTTAGACTGCATTTCTTTTATTTTGGTATTTTGTGGGGTATTGGCCATTTCATTATTGGTTATATTGCTATCATCATGATAAATGTTTACATTTCTGTCAAAATTATGAAAAAATTGACCTTTGGATATTATATTAATAGCTGTGTTATTGCATTTTTTATCATCTAAGGGAATTTGAATCCATTTTAATTTAGGCAACATTATTTGTCCTTTTGTATAATGCAAATAGTTTTGTATCAAGTTTAAGAAGGTAATGGGTATTGCTTTGCAAACCTTTTAATACACCCTAATAGAACTTTGTATATTAAATATAGTTTCAAACTCTTTCAAACTAAGGAACTGACCTTGCATTTCGAGTATATCTGTGTCAAAGATCTTTTTTTTTTTTTTTTTTTTTTTTTTACCATTTTTGAATGAATAATGTTTTCCTAGTTGGTGTAATTGCTCATTTGTTCCATAAGGTGGAGCCATACGAGGAAAAGTTGTGGGTAAATACAGTCTTCCAATAATGGAGGAGCGGTTTATGGTTACGGTTTATTCAGATAGTTTTACAGGTAACTTGGATACTTCAAAATCACATTTTAAAAGAAATTCCAAACAGCCAACTTGCTTAAAAATATTCTTGGGGATATTATACCAAATAGTTTCAGGCTGAGTTTTTATCCAGTTTAGTCTGAAAACACCCACCATGGATTCAAAGTCAATAGTTTTTAACCCTCCTTTGTTGTAGTCTTTGATGAGTTGTGATTTATTTATTTATTTTTTTAATATAGTGGGTTTTATGAATTGGTATATTATTGTAATTTATTACATTTTTTGTTATTTTATGGAGTAATATAAAATGAAGAGCTTGGGTATACCAGTTTTGAGATACCTTTGGATTTTGATAACACATTTTGGCCTAGAATAGTTAGATCCCTTGTTAAGCAAGGTTTAGACTTTTTGAAATGTCTTCAGTTTTTTCCTTGATATTTTTGGCTTCTCTTGTTTTGTCATCTCTGGTTACTTGTTCCCAAGTATTTAATTTCAGTTTTCACAGGTATAGACTCGTGTCAGTACATAAAGGTAGTAATTCACATTCACAGACCTGATGCCTGAGAGAACACAGAGATGTTTGGAGCTTTTTGAGAATTGACTTGTCTTCCAAAAAAAAAATGACTGTATTGTCAGAAAATTGACTTTCTTACACCTTCCTGAACCTCCTTACAAAAAAGAAATATGGCCTTGTGTTCAACTATATCTTTTAAACCTCTAACATTTAAAGCACTCAGATGAATAAACATAAGTAAATGAAAGAACTGTATGCTCTTGTATTCACTAGAATATAATGATGAGCAGGAAGGAGCATCTGCTCCTAGAACATTTATTATTTTTTACTAGTTACTATTTTTTTTTACTTAACTTTTATTAGTTTTAAAATTTGTGTATGAAATCATTCAATACAAATCATTATCTCAAAGAAATATATATATATATATTTTTTTTTTTTTTACCCCCCTGAGGATCATTTCAAGCCCAAAGAACAATCTCTAACTTGTTAACATCTCGTCAACACTTTATTTGTGCTCAACTTTTCTTATGGTTCAACTCTTTTACCATCAATTAGTGCTGGTCCCTACTTTAAGAAGGCTCTCCGTCCTCTGCCCATGCTTCCTCCATTGCTGGACAAAGCCCAGGCTTCACAGTTTTCTTTTGAAAAGTCCTCTTTGAATTTGATGATCTTTACACACTCTGGCCTCCTTTGACCTTCTCCATATTTTGTCCCGTGTTGTCTTCATGCTGAACTGGATGATGATAGGCGTCTTGTTGGTGGCTGCATTGTTCTTCCATCCCAGTCAGTGGACAGTGTCCATGGTTTCCCCTAGGTCTACTGACACAGGAAGCACTCAAGAATGCAATCGCTGTTTCTTGTGCACTTTTGTTTTCTTTCTTAAGCAGCCTGATCAGCCTGAGATCCCAGCATCTGTACACTCTCCATGCATTTCTCCCTCAGATATTCTTTTTTTTTTTTTTCGGGGACTGTACCTGCACTTTAAGTTGGTCCACTACATTTTTATTTTCTTTTGTTGCTTTTTCCTTAGCTTACATTAGCACGAAGTTCTCAAACTTTCGTTCGAGAGTGTACAGTCTGTCATCCATCCATTAATCAAGCTTTAATCGCATCAAGGACATTTTCAGTGCTCACGTTTCAGCTTTCTTTTTCAGTTGGGATTGGGGCTTTGCAACGGAGTGTGGTCATTTTTACTTTTGGGTATATTCGTCTCCATGTCCTCAAAATCTTCCAGGTCATCATCCATCATGTAATCACAATCAGGTAGTCATGGTCGTGGATGCTAGCTGTTAGCCATTTTTTCCAAGACAAGTTTTAAAACTTTTCTTCCACCAAGTTTTATCCTCAGTTCAGTATTCGGGTTGTCCCAGTCTTAACATTTCTCCTGGGATAACTGTCTTTTCAGAGGGAAGTGTTGTGGATGTCAAAATCACCATTGAGCTTGGCCCATTGACTTGAATGGGTGGCCATGTTTAGACACCGGGACTTACTCTATTCCAAACTAAAAGGTAAAAGGAGCTGTTAACTTAAACTACTGCTTCATGACATCACAAGGTGGAACGAAGCATTTTGAGCTTTGGAGATGAAGACAGACTAATAATACAGGATTACTCAAACATGTGTCAATAAAACAAAACATTGCTCCAAGCTCACATGTCATTTTTGCAAAATAACCTTTAAACAAATCTCAGCAAAGATCATTTCTCTTTGTGATTAGGTGTTTGTCATTTATCATTTAAATAAATTTGAGCCTGTCTTTTTAATGTCTCCTTAACTTAGCCTAAAGATTTGGATCCTATAAAAGAAATGAAAATCCCTGTTTGGTTTTGTTGAGGATTTAATGAGTTTTTGTGCATTGTTTGAAATCAGAAGCCATTAATGGAATGACCTTTTTCTTTTAGTGAAGTGGATTTAAGCTCCACTGATACAAAGACAATAAGGACCAAAGACAACGCCATTGATCACAGGTAAGAGAAATCTAAATGTGTTTTTTTTTCGACAACACACACATTTTAAAAGCAAAATCTCAATATGGAACAATAACAAGGAATTATTAAGACCCACACATCCACTAAATTCTGAAATATGCCTTAAAATAATTTGAAAATGAGAAAAAAAAGTATACAGCTCACAAAAACAAAACAAAAAAGAAAAGCATCAGATCTCAAGGTGAAATGCTGGATATCTAAATATGTACGTGGTAATATCTTAGGAACAAAAGGATGCCACCTCCTTTAATGGATATAAAATATTCAGCCTACTGAGGACTTAATTTTACAGACACTCTGAAAATCAAAGTGAAATAATGATGTGGCAGTCTTGTCCATTGTGCTAAAATTAAATTTCTGTGAATCAAAATGCTTCTCAATATCTTGTGAGCTCAACTTGTTCCTGCTTGCACGAAGGAGCAGATATGGGTTGAGAACGTTCTAGGGCCCTATCCAGCCCCACTAGAGTAAATGCCTCCTGAAATCTCCATGTTCTGGAGATTGTGCAGGGAAACAAATCCACATGTGACCCTGACTTCTGTAGGGTTAATGAGTGGCTTCATACTCCCTTTAGTGATAATCACACTTTTTGTTTTTCACATTAACATCTGTTTTCAGAGTGTTCCTTTAATTTTTTTTGAGCAGTGTATACATAAAAGATGTTAGTTCACCAATAAATCAGACCAATATTTGCACTTTTTAATGTATTGGCTATCAGCCAAATCTCCAGCATGAGCAATGTATGATTCGGGATGCCCAAAAGAGACATAAAGCTTTATTTTAAAAGTTTAATGCAGTAATAGTACAAAATATGATTACACCACTCCTGTTTACGCCTCATTTACACCTCATTTATGGCTCATTTATGGCTCATTTATGGTTCATTTATGGTTCATTTATGGTTCATTTAGACTAATTTCTGCCTTATGGCCATTTCTCACATTCCAGTCACATTGAGTAAGTGTGGCAAGGATGCCTTATTATGCGATTTCTGTATTTTTATCACAAATATGAAACAGTTGAAAATAAATAAATAAATAAATAAATAAAAATCTGCTGATGAGTTGGGCTCTAACAACGTGGATCTCTCCAAAGTGGTGTTGTGGAAAAATTAGATATCTCTCTTGAATAATATATAATTAATCCATTTGCAAAGCCCGGGTGAGTTTTTGGGAATACAGATTGGATCTTCTGTATCCTCTCAGTGACCTTTCCCAAGTCTCCTACACAGAGCATCTGAGTTCTAAGTATTTATACAGAAATACAAATGACATGAAAAGAAGTGAATGGCTGAACTTCTTTTCAAAAAGAAATATAAAGAAACAAAATTTTGTGATTCGGTTAACTGCATCCTATGATTTTTTTCTTGCAGACAACTGTTGACAACAGGCTCAAATGTTGAGCACATATTTTCGGACACTTTATAACATACAGTTTGATCAGGTCCCAAGGACACACAAACATACAGTTGACTTCTGTGTCACATTCTGTAAACACAATTTTCTGCATGTAACTCAGAAAAACTTCCTCTTATTTCAAAATCTGTGATGTTTTTATTTATTTTTTTACATGTTGTCACGGTGCAGAACAGACATAAATTTACATTTTTCTTTATACAATTTACGTTTACACTTCATAATATCTCAATTCTTAAACTTGAAAGAGATGTACTCCTTACTCTTATACTCACCTACACAGGGAAATTCACCCTTTTGCCTTTTCTAGTCAGTAACCCTAGATAAGAGTTTCACCGAGTGACTGTTCCCTAAAGAGCAGCGACTTTCACCTGTTTGAATGTTCACTAGCTTGTTACTGCCAGAGGGAATTTCACTCAGTGAATGTTTGGTAGTTAAGTGTAATAACTCTGTGCTTACTTCTATTCTGGAAAATACATTCAAGTAGTTTAAATGCTAGATATTAAACAGAATGTAACAAAACTAAGCCCATGTTCACCTTTACACTGTGTTAACATAATTTGCTTCTAGTTATCATGTTAAAACAAGATCAAGGACAAGTAAAATCAGAAAGATTTAATTCCCGAGGTTAATACATTTTAAGGCCAGAATGACAAGTTTAACAGCAGCAGTAAGGGCACTGATAAGGGCAATGACTTTTCAGTCGAAGTCAATTGAAACCAGACCTCAATGAAAGCACTTTGCTTTCCTCTTTGGACCTTGGTGGCTAGTTTGTTTCAAACGTAGACATCCCAAATTTAAATGGGGTCGTTCTGATAACACATTATGGTATGATATATTGCACAGAAAATATGATCATATTGAAATGACTTTATAATACTGAAACAAAAACCCTAAAACTATAATAACAGACAACCATATCTAAGTGAACCAAAAAAAAAAAACCTAACATAACATAATAAGTTTAAACCTGTCATGTATTCAACCAATACAGCTCCAATGTTGCTCATATATTCTTATTTCTATAAAACAGAAGATAAACAGAAGATACAGCCAATGTTTTTATGAATGGGTCTGAAAAAATATATTTTTCTATCATATATTACATAGTAGTGACTGTAATTAGAGTAATTTTTCAGATTTATATACAAGAGCTTATTTTACAATGATCGTGGCTATTTGTACGACTGTATTTCTATAAAACATGAATCATAATTGCTAACTCACACATAATAAAGCTTTATTTGTTCTAGATTATATTACTTGAGGACCTGTAAGAACTGGTTAATTCTAATCGTATGCAGTGGTCTTAACTTTTTCATTTTCTTTCTTCAGTGACGTTCAAAAAACTTCTGCATCAACCACAACCAACCCTATCAGGTAAGAACAAAGTCCTTCACTTAGTCTAATTTATTTCTTATGTGGATATAATCAGTGCAGAGGGATTGCAGAAAACAAAAAGTGAACAATATTATCATATACACACATACATTTACTGTTTTGTAATAATTAATTTATTATTTACAGAAAAACATATCTTCAAAATGTACCTCAACTTGACAAAAACGCCCCAGATCCGTGTAATGGCTGCCGGTGAGGGAAAAGACTGGATTACATGGGTTGCATGTTTCTTTTTTTCTTTTTTATAAAAAAAAAAAGATTATTAATTATTATTTTATCCACTTTTAGCGAAGACATCAAAAAAGTTCTGGGAAACTATTCTCTGAACTGGAGAAAAAATGTCACAAAACACCAAGAGCTCAGGTAACTACTTAATATCCCAGGTTCCTAAAGTAACAGCCCAAAATAGGTCCACATAAAAACAACATCTTAGCCTTGAATTAATCATAATAAGATGATGATCCAGTGGTAACTGGGTTTGTTTGTTCTTACTGTCTTCATTAAAGCAGCTGTATGTAATTGTGCAGTTTTATAAACGGCACTACAGTCATTGAAGCTGAAGTGCCAGTGCCTAAACCTACAGATAGAGAACACACGTTTTTCTCCTTCTCAGTATATGGACTGCATATACTGCAGCAGCATGACCAGCATGGTGCAGGTGCTGGGGTTTAGGTAGTGAGGACTCACATCAGAGAGTCCTTTTAGGTTTAAACCAACTGGCTTTCAACACTGAAACTGGCAACCCAAATGAGTCAAGACTCATGTGAGACTCGTACACTGGACTCAAACTACTGCACTAATGGACACAGAAAATATTATCTGACAAGTAAAAATATATGAAAACAGTTTTATTTTGTTAAATCATTTTAAAGTATCAGACAATTTAAAATTGTGCTGAACTTTTGGCTTCTCCCTAGTGTGATGTCGTCATTATCATGTGTTTTAGAACTCTCTAATTTGTGTAATTTTCAATATATTTTTCATCTTTTATTCAGAAATTGCTTATGTTATGATATAGTTGGGTGTAAAACTATAATTTATATTTACGAAAGGTATTATCCCACCAACTTAAGTAAATTTAGATCAAATCCTGTTTTACACTGCCTGAGTAAATAATGATTCAGACATTAGTAAGCAAAGTTCCATTGTACCTGCCTATGCCTTTTCCTTATCTCTCCACAGAGCATCACTCATCACAAACTGCAATGGTTTTCAAAAGGCCTTTGTGACCCAGGCCAACAGTCCTTTAGCAACATCTATCAAGTACGACGGAGAAAACAGAGTCCGCACTATAGATGAAAATCTTTTCAACAATATTCCAAAGGTGAATGGTTACCAACAAGGCTGAAATGTATAGGGAACCTCAAGTTTTCCATACAATACACAGCAATAGTATTACAGTTTGGCAATAACTGATATACAATTAAACAGTTCAAATGTATTTAGTTCATCCTTTAGCACATCCTTTATCAGGACATTAATAACAGTACCTACCCCCACTGCAGTACATAAAGTGTCCCACAAAAGCAGCAACCCATTAATGCTGCTAAAAGTTGGTTTGGGATCTGGGGGGGCGTCCTTGGTCCTGCACCAGTCTCTGTCTCTAAAACCTTCAAGTCAGTTTTGTTTCTTAATAATTAAATAAGTTCTAAACACGTTGCCTTGTTTATTGTACAGAATTACTGTATGTCTTCACTTTTTTTTCTACTTTTAGGAAGTTAAATTCTCTAACAAAGTACTAGACACATGTTCTGTTGTTGGAAATGGAGGGATTTTGACCAACAGCAGCTGTGGAGAGGCCATAGACTCTGCCCAGTTCGTGTTCAGGTAAGAAATAATGAAAATGAATTATTATTAAATTTTGAAGACCATTTTGAAGTCCATTTTATAATCTTTACACACCAGCCTGTAAAGCTCATTAAATTATTGTTCTGTACCTTTAATAAAACATGAACAATAAAAAATAAATAGTTTAAAACTTGACTAGAGATTATTGTCCTGCACCAGACTGTTATTTCAGCAGAATGCATCTTGCCCCGGTACAGATATGTTGTATAAACAGGTCAGTGTGCTGTCTGCATCTAATTAGAATGGTTCTCATTTACAAAACTACTGTACGGCAAAATCTGTGTATATATTTTATATTCTGTCTTAGGCCAACAGGATCTATACTGCAGTTAATTCAATCCAGTGTACACTCATTCCCACTCATACTCAAAGTAAAAAATTGTATTGTAAAATGTACTTAAGTACATGTTTTGGTATGTATACTTAAGTACTTTCACTTTGTACTTCATTACCTTCCACCACTGGAAGTTATTATGAAGTGTTAACATAAATCTGTATGCTGCAATGAACTCTTGTTGTATATTTAGATGTAATCTCCCTCCTCTGGACAAAGAATATGGGAAACACGTTGGAAGAAAGACCAACATTGTGACCGCAAACCCCACCATCATTCAGAAGAAGTGAGTTTTAACAGTGATTATTATATTACGTTGTCAAGGTTATTCAGAAAATCAATAATTCAGGTCTCAAAATATATAAAAAGCAAAAAAGTGTTACAGCCTTGCTCTAAGAAAGCAGGTGAAGAGTTTGGTCAGTAATCACTGTCATGCTCCTCCTATAGTGAATAACATGCGCTGTGAACAGAAATGCCTCTCCACACATTATGTTAAGTTTATGATATAAGACAACTTTACATAGTTTTGTGATCTGGTCCACAAACTCTGAACTTTGCACATTGGGTCTCTGTCTCTGTCTCTATTCTCATTAAGAACTATGTTTTATCTGTCAGTCACCTGAGTCACCTGTCAGTCATGCCCATGACAGGATACATCTTTGTATTGTATAAAGGGAGGTTCCTAGGTTTGGCTAAGAAATTGAGTGTTGAGTGTTGGCAGCCCGAGCTGTGTTGGTACCAGGGAACGAGAAACACCCAACAGCTGCTGCTTGTCCTTTTTTGTCCTCTGCCTGGTCTAACTCTGAATGTCATTTAGTTTCCTTTGTCCCATGGACCTGCTCTAGGCTCATGTTGAAACAATAATTCATGTTAATTAAACCCAAATCCTGTTGAAGTTAAAATTATACATTCCATTATGTAAATGAACTGTCTCTGTCAAGCAAACGAACAAACTTTATGGAAGATTCATTATGTTTGCACAAACTCAGCTGTCTCCTCCATCAGTATGCTCTGCACCCGGACCTGCCTGTGAGGCCTTTTCCTGTTTAAATATGTTTAGTTTAGTTTCTGGGTGTGTTTATGGCCTATTAATGTAGTGAGTACACTACTGTGTGTACTTCACACTGTTAACAGGCTTGCTGTGAGTCACAGTTCATCTTTGGTTGTTCGGTGGTTCTGAGTTTGATCTTTGTCCCGGTCTCACTCTCAGACCCACGACCCACTTTTTGAGCGACAGCTCAAAATTTTCTCCACGATGAGACATCTTGTTGCAGTAGACACCCAGTATAGCACATGAAATCCTAGCAGTCAAATTATTCACCGCATGATTATTATAAGCATTTTTCACATCTCTGAGGCCAGAGTTTAGTTTGCTGTTACTGTAATGCCAACAACTACTAGCATGCTAACAGCACGCCAGCCTTACTTCTTGGTTTGCGAATGACAAAATACTGCTCAGGTATATATACATATACGAAGCATCACTATAAATGATGAATTACTACTGTTTTATTATTATTATGTTTTATTGTTGCTGCAGAAGAATACTGATCCCAAAGGAAGTTCAAAGTATCTATATTTTATATAGTGAGCTGCAAATTTTACTTAACTACATGGAAAAAATCATGCACAGCCCCTGAAACATGCTCATGATTGTCTTTCAGATACAACAGTCTACAGCTTCGCCGTCGTCAGTTTGTGGATGATGTCAGTGTGTATGGCGACTCTCTGCTGTTTCTTCCTGCCTTTTCCTTTGCGTTCTGCACTGGTTTGAGCATGGCAGTCCACTACACTTTGGAGGACTTCAGGAGCTCAGTTAAACCTGTATTTTATAACCCGGAGTACCTCAAAAGCCTGGATACATTCTGGCGTTCACAGAAGCTCAACCCTGGTTACAGAATAAGCACTGGGTTCATGTTGGTTAGTTTAGCTCTGGAAATCTGTAACAATGTGGACGTGTATGGGTTCTGGCCTTTTAAATATCACCCATACAATTTCCAGATTACAACAAATCACTATTATGATGACCAAAAGGCAACTACTTTTCATGCCATGCCAGCCGAATTTGCCTATCTGATAAAACTACACAATGAAGGGGTGCTTAAGCTTCATCTGGGAGAGTGCCCACCACAAAAAAAGGAATGAAGGTTTTATATTGGTGTCCTCTATACTGTTAAAGCCAGAGTATGTAACTTTTTATCCAAAAAATAGATTTGTGTGTATTTCATTGAAAACATGAGTGAGTTTACATCTCCAGAAAATGGATTCTTATTTGTTGGCTTATAGTGCAAAATTCTGGGCTGAGTAGAAATCATCTTGTTGGGCCATATTACATGTTCTGTATATGAAAACTGCATAACAAATTTAGTGAAGGCCCCCCTCCCCCCTTGCGACGCCCAAGCTTATTTGGCCATATCTATCTCCATGAAAAATGTTCCAAAAATATAGTTTTAACTTTTCTATGGAATCTTTCAGAAAGTTACACCCTGTGCCTTTAAATGAAGGACAAGTGACAGAACAGAAAAGCCATGTATTCAACCAGTCAAAAGTTTGGACCCTCTTAGTCAGTGTTTTTTTAATACGTTTACAATTTTACTGTTTACTACTTTCTACATTTGATATACACTACTCACAATAATTTTGTGATATTGTTATTTACAAGCAACATCTGACTGCCTGCCACCCCCCCCCAAAGGCGCACTCTGGCTAAGTGGCGCTGCTCGTCCATTAAGTGACGTTGTGTGTTCATGGCTGTTTGAATTGTGAACTTGGAATGGCTTGACAATACCAGCTTTTTATACCCACAGAATGTTGAAATTTATGCCACATTTAAAAGGGTTTTTGGCCCCAATATGTATGGCACACTGTATATAGAGACCATTACATGAAAAAACAAAATGAGGTGTATCTAGCACCCCAAACACAATTGCCTCCCTATCCCAAAGATTTCTGAAGTGAAAGAAACACCATATATATATGACATTCACTGACTCTGTCACAATATCCCTAACTTCTTGTGAGTAGTGTACATGCAGAAGCCATCAGCTATATGAAGCAAGATGTATGGAATTATGTAGCAATAAATAAAAAGTTAAACCACATTACTGGGTACACACAGACACACAGACACAATACAATACAGCAAAAGCATAGTCTGTATACAACTAAAAGGACAAAGATTGTCAAAACTAAAATGACAAGGAAATACACCGTGCATAATTATTAATCGTCCTTTATGAAGTCCAAATGTAGATGGACCAAAAATGGTCGTCATACTTTATAGAAAATATTTGAATTGTCTTTTGAGAGGGCACTGAGTCTCTTCATTGGACAAACTCTCTGGCAGACAGAAACATACACATCCAACAAAAACTGCGACTGCATGCTGGGTCCAAAGACAAAGACTGTGCAAAAAAAGACTGTTGCACTGCAGTTCTATGAAGATTTATATATATAAAAAAAAAAATGTGTTTCTCACCTTCCACGGTGGTTGGTCTCTCACCCTCATTCAGCTCAGGTCCTCTACCAGAGGCCTGGGAGCCTGAGAATTCTGCGCAGTATCTTTGCTGTTCCCAGTACTGCACTTTTCTGGACTGAGGTGTCCGTTGTTTTTCCCGGTATCTGTTGTTCTTCCAGTTTGGGGGTTACGGCCCCAAGTGCTCCAATCACCACAGGCACCACTGATGGCTTCACTTTCCAGACTCTCTCCAGCTCCTCCTTGAGCCCCTGGTATTTCTCTAGTTTCTCGTGTTCCTTCTTCCTGATATTACCATCGCTTGGTATTGGAATGTCCACGACGGCTCGCATAGGCCCAGATCTAGTCAGTCCCAAAAAGAAAGAAATTGTTGAATGGAATCTTTAGTACAGGTGTTTACTCTGTTTTAAAGTGGTGTATTGTATACAATACAAAACAGAGTGGATTGAGAGTGCCTGAAGTCAGCCTTCAGTGGACCAGAGTTAACAAAACTGATTCAAGGATGCAGTGTATACTTCAATAATAACCAAGTTTAATGTGGTATCATTGAAATAAAAATTTGGGAGCTTTGAAGAACTGCAGTGCAGATCACATTTTTCTTTTGCAAAATTAAAACTCTCTCTGTACATTTTATGCAACATACACACCCACATACACTGACAAAAAACACATAAGCTTTATCATAATATGATTGTTATTTATCTTAACTAAATATTGTGAACAGAGTATTCCATAATTATATGGAGCCAGGATTTCACAATGACTGCTATTTCTGTCATGCTGAAACACACGCTTAAAGCAGTTACATGTAATATTTCACAATGCAAGACAAAAGCATTTTTTTTTTCTTTTGAAACTAAAAGGCTTTGCAACTGAGAGCATTGTTCACACACTGGTACGACTGGTTAAAAAAAAAAAAAAAAAAACAACATTGCTGCAGCATAAGACTAACAGACTACATTAAGTTTATGTAATGGTTGGTGATCACCTCCATGGAAAATAGGTTTCAGAGCTCAAAAAGCATTATTATTATTAGGAACATTATCCATGGAGATAATGAATGAAAAAATAAAAATAGAAAATACACCCAGACCTTCAAAGAACATAAGCCTGTGGTAAGAAAAAAAACTAAAAAACTTCCCTTTTACCCTCTTATTTTTACTATCAATATATTAAAAAAAATATATATATATAAAAAATTGAATTTAAATAAATGTACATATCACTAATTATTTGGGCAGAAGAAAATGGAGAGATGTCAAAATATCAAATAATTCAGAATTTTTTTGTGTGTGTTGTGAAAAATAAAAGATGGCATTTACATGAGATCACACATACAGACGTGGACAAAATTGTTGGTACCCCTCTGGTAAGGAAAGAAAAATCAACAGTAATCACTGAAATAACTTGACACTGAGAAAAGCAATAATAAATAAAAAATTACTGAAAAATAACCAATGAAAATCAGACACTGTATTTGAACTGTTGATCAAAAGAATTATTTAAAAAAAATAAAATGATGGTACCCCTCGAAAAGATTGTAAGTAATTGGACAATAGGGACATGTTAAATTTAGGTGTGTCCTCTAATTTCACAGGTCAGGTGTCTTCAAACTTGTCATCAGTCAGTCTGTCTGTTTAAAGGGAGACATGTGTCATTGTGCTGTTTGGAGACATGATGGAGACAACACTGAACATGGACCAGAGAAAGAGAAGAAGAAAACTGTGTCAGGAGACTAGAAAGAAAATGATAGACAAGCAGGTTAAAGATAAAGGCCATAAGACCGTCTCCAAGCAGTGTGATGTTCCAGTGATTACAGTTGCACATGTTCTTCAGAAGTTTAAGGTCCACAGGACTGTAGCTAACCTCCCTGGATGTGGTTGCAAGAGGAAAATTTATGACAAATTGAAGAGATGGATCATACGAATGGAACCAAAGAGCCCAGAATAACCTCCAAAGAAATAAAATGTGAACTCGAAGGGCAAGGTACATCAGTGTCAGATCGCACCAATCATCACTGTTTGAGCCAAAGTGGACTTCATGTGAGAACACCACTGTTGAGAGCAAATCATAAAAAAGTGATACTGGAATTTGCCACAGTGCATATTGACAAGCCACAAAGCTTCTGGGAGAATGTTCTTTGGAAAGATGAGGCAAAACTGGAGCTCTTTGACAAGACACATCAGCTCTATTTTCACAGACACAAAAATGAAGTACACCATGAAAAGAACACTGTCCCTACTGTGAAGCATGGAGGAGGCTTGGTTTTGTTCTGGGGCTCTTTTGCTGCATCTGGCACAGGGTGTCTTGAATCTGTGCAAGATACAACAGAATCTCAAAACTATTACTATTTTGGAATGAAATGTGTTACCTAGTGTCAGAAAGCTTGGTCTCAGTCATAGGTCATGGGTTTTCCAACAGGTTAATGACCCAAAACACCCAAGAATGGCTAAGAACAAAACATCGGACTGTTCTGCAGTGGTCTGTGAGCCCAGATTTCAATTCTATTGAACATCTGTGAAAGGAGCTGAAAGATGCTGTCTGGAGAAGGAACCCTTTAAAACTAGGGCAACTAGAGCAGTTTGCTCATGAGAAATGGGTCAAAATACATGTTGATCAGTACAAAAGTCTCACTGACAGTTACAGAAATCATTTGCTTGCAGAACCTCAAAAGGTTGTGTCACAAATATTAAGTTAAGGGTACCATCATTTTTGTCCAGGCCAGTTTCATTATTTAGTTTTTTCAAATAATTCTGTTAAACCACAGGTGAAAAACAATGTTTGATTTTTGTTGGACAATTTTCAGTAATTTTTTATTTATTATTGCTTTTCTCAGTGTCAAGTTATTTCAGTGATTACTGTTGATTTTTCTTTCATTGCCAAAGGGGTACTAACAATTTTGTCCACATTCTTTATATGGCCTACACACAGTATATAACAGGTCTCCATTCACACCGTCTGTACTCAGCTGAGAGGGCGTCTCTGACACATCTGTGAAATCTTTTGTTGTTCAAAATTGGGAGCTCATGAACAGCTTTGTGCTGTCATTTTTTTATTGAAAGTAACAGAGTTTAGGCCAACAACCTTTACCATGTGAGAACAGTCCTGTACTGAAAAACCAAGATGAATTCACCGATCATGTTTAAAATGTTAATAAAAGTATTAATGTGCACATTCACCTTGTCAAAATTAGACTGCAGTGCAGGGTCCCATCTCCAGAGCTTTAACTATGATCTTGGGTGGCTTTTACACTGCCACTCGCTTAGTTGATGCAAAAGAGCATTTGCTCTGAGAGCAGAGCTTGGGTCGCTGTGAACATGACAGTCACGTTCTGATTCACATTAAAAGCTCAGAGAGAGCTTCAAACAGGAGGTCTCGACTCACACTCTGGAGCGCAGCAAGTGTGACCATGACCGACCTCGGGCCGACCTGCACAGTCAGTGCAGTAAAAGTGCTCAGAATTGGGTAAAAAATCTGTCAATTTGATCTGACCATTTGGATCATCTTCAGTTGTGTCTCCTGCTTCCTCTCTCTGCACAGGTGAGTCTAGTGAGTGAATCAATATATGCACAACACAGAAGGACATCAGAAAAAACACCAGGAGAGTCAAACACCAACTCCTGACCAAACAGTTGCCCATGACTGCAGAACCCGTAAAACCAACCTGTGCACTGCCTGGATTGATTACAAGAAAGCCTATGACTCAATGCCACACACATGGATCACTGAGTGTTTGGAGTTGTAAATATCAACAGGACTCTAAGGGTCTTCATTGCATACTCGTTGCGCTTGTGGAAAAGCAACCTTGAAGCCAATGGGAAGCCACTTGCACAATTGTCCATCAAATGTGGCATATACCAAGGAGACGCACTCTCCCCACTACTGTTCTGCATAGGTCTGAACCCCCTCAGCCAAATCATCGACCGCACTGGCTACAGACACCGACTCAGAAATGGGGCCACCATCAGCCACCTCCTCTACATGGACGACATCAAGCTGTACGCTAAGCGCGAGCAAGACATTAACTCACTGATCCACACAACCAGGATCTACAGCACAGACACTGGAATGTCATTCAGGTTTGAGAACTGCAGCAGGATGGTGACAAAGAGAGGGAAGGTAGTCCACACAGAGGGGGTCTCACTCCCAGAGGGAACAATAACAGATGTTGAGGACAGTTACAAGTACCTTGATAATCCCACAAGTAAATGGCAACCTTGAAGAGGCAACAAGGAAAGTGGCTATGGCAAAATACCTGCGAAGAGTGAGACAAGTCCTAAGAAGCAGCTCAATGGCAAGAACAAGGCACAGAGGAGATACAGACCACAGATGTTAAGACACGAAAGCTCCTGACCATGCATGGAGGGTTCCATCTGAAAACCAGCACCCTGAGACTGTACACAAGCCGGAAGGAAGGGGGCCGAGGACTAGTGAGTGTGGGAACCACTGTCCAGAATGAAACAGCCAAGCTCCACGAGTACATCAAGGACAAGGCCCCGGCAGATGAGGTGCTCAGAGAATGTGTCAGGCAGTGGGGTTCAGAGGAAGAGGTGCTGGAAGGACCATCACGGCAGGACAAGCCCCTACATGGGGCGTACCACTGGAACATAACTGAAGTGGCTGATATCAAGAAATCTTACCAATGGCTTGAGAGGGCTGGTCTGAAGGACAGCACAGAGGCACTGATCCTGGCTGCACAGGAGCAGGCCCTGGGCACATGAGCAATAGAGGCC